ATCTGCCCTTCATCTCTTCTCTCTTAAATCAAATCCAAAAATCTAAAGTTGCAAAGGTGGAAGAATGTGTACTTCAAGCCTCGTCTTTGAGTTTCATCGAGCCTACACTCCGACAAGCCTTGAAGCAGAGGACATTTGTAGACATTGAAATTTTGTGGACTCTACAAGACGTGTTCAATTCGATTTGGCACTCTAGAAGGTGTGTTCAGTTTCAATTAGAATTCTTGAAGGCTACTCAACTCTAAACTCTAGTTTATGCCTATATAAAGGGTACTAAATTCCCTTAAAAGACATCTCAAAATATCCCATAAACTCTTGGGTATTTTTAAAGATCAAGATCTCAAATATTCCACAAAAGTCATGGAATATTCATATAGAGGTTAAATCTAAATCATTCTAGTTCGAGAAATACGCCACTAACGGCCCTCTAATCATGGATAAATCTTAGGATAGTAGTATCAAGGAGGAACATAATTGTACCCGCATATTTATCAATAAAGTTATGTTTCTTCAGATTTTATTTGTGTGGTTTATTCAAGTCATATGCAACAAGCTCGACTACTAAGATATTAAAGAAGGATCGATGCCATAGAATTAATTAATGATAAAATTCAACTTTTAGTAGCGTTGACACGTGGCAAATGTCGGCAATAATATTTATGCTTCTTTTATTGAAAGGGACAAACTTTTCCCTGGAGCAGGTAACAGTGAATTGTCAAAATAAGGAAGCACAGAAAAGTTTCTATTATAAGCATTACGTAAAATTCTATAAATTAGTTATAAAAGGGAAAGGAAACAAAAAATGTGTTACATATTCATTTTAATTACGTAATTTATCTATCTTAATCTCTGCTATCATAAATAATTTCAAATACCTTTCATTATATTTTTAGGACACTAATATTCTTACCCCTCCTAGTTTTGAGGTGTACTATATACATTTTTTACTAACGGTTGGACATATGTCTCAATCTAAAATGCCTACCCAATATTTATTAAATTTCTACCCATAATTGAAAGACTTGCCTGAATTAATTAAAAAATCCACCCAAATAACATAATATCCAGTCGAATTCCTTCACTTTGCTCTCTTTGGCTAGAGTTGTCAAAAAGGGTCGGTCCAAGTACCCCACCCGGCCCAAGCCTCGTGGGACAAGGAATTTGATGGGCTAGGGGGGCCGGCAATTCATTTTGAAGGGCCTGAAAATGCTCAACCCTAGAAGGGCCGAGGGTTGGGGCGGCCTAACCCTTTTTTTATTTTTTATTTTATTTTTTCTTTTCAAACTTAAAATTCTATAACATTAAGAAAATGAGAAGATTTTCAAATCAAATATGACAAAACAATGGTGTTGTTTCAATAACACTAGCAAAAAATCTAGTGTGATTAGCATGTATCTAGGATACTAGATACGCGAGATACATGTATCTGGTGTGATGCATCCCAGATACGCGAGCGAGATAAGAGAGTGGCGAGCGAAATGAAAGGGAGGCAAGGGCACGAGATTTGTCCATGTATCCTAGATACATTCGAATTCACTTGAATAAAGTGTATCTAGAACAAATTAACCTAATTTTTAGTCCATGTATCCTGAAATACATATATCTGGACGTACCAAATGTTGACACCTAATTTTGACCCTCCCCGATAATAATTAATTTTCGAGCTTCTTAATTTCTAAACGTTTTAGAATAATTAGCTTTATAAAATTCAAATAGTTTCAAGGCTAGTTTAAACAATTTTAGTCGATTTTTATGGTATTTTGAATAATAAATGTATTTCATATAATTATATACAATTAATATTCTATGAATATTTTCTCACAAGACTTCTACATTGTTTTAGTAGATATTTTATTATTTTAGTCTAGTATAATTTATAGTTATAATTTTGAGTTATTGAAATCGGTTAGTTTATATTTGAATTAATTATCTTATTTCATTAAGTTTGAGAAGCTCATGGATTAATTCACGTTAATTCATCTTGATTAGATGTCGACCAAATCCACCAATTAATCTCAATTTGGTTACATTCGGAAATTCATTTGAGGCTTTGTTTGATTATATTTCCCTTAGCCAAATTTCCAATTCATTTCAACACATTTTTATTTTATTTTTAAAAAAAAATAAAAAAATAAAAAGGACCAAAGTTGAGCCATTAACCAAATTTCAGCAACACCACACAACAGCAGTACGTACAAACATACGTTCCAGCCCACCAAGAATTCCCATTTCCAATTTCCCAGCCCACGTTGACTTCAACAACTCTAATTTCCAACAATAACGTCCCAACCAGCCCACTCTTAATTCCCTCTACCCGGCCCAATTCTATTCTAAAAAAAAGAAACCCAGCAACGTGGGCAAACAGAGGAAGCAATACAGCAAACCCATATACCCGACCCCTGCGCATTTTCTTCTTCTTCTACGCTAATCTGCCAGTCCAGCAGCTCACGTGAAACAGACAGCAGCAGGGTGCGTTTTCTTCTCCCTCACGCGTCAATATCCAACAACTCCCACAGCTTTCTTTGCAACAGCCGCCCATCTCGATTTTTTCATCCGAATTTTGGGGGATTTCAGTTGAAATTTGATACAAGCAGCAGCTTTTCCTCCCCTTGAGGAAGAAAAAATTCAAAGGAGGTTGAATCCGGATTGACGATTTTGCCCCAAGCTATTTCAAAAAATTCACCCGACTCTTTCAAATCGTGAGCTCTAGTTTTCCCCTCAATATATACTCCCTCTTTCTCCATTGTTGAGGGGGGATTTTTGATTTTATTTTAAAAGAGTTAGAAAGAAAAAGAAGCGATAGTTAACAAAGAACAGTAGACAAAAAATATAAATAGATTTTAAAGTGATAATTCCCAGGGTTCAGTGTTTAGGGAAGTTCGAGCCCTCACGGAAATATTTTGAGGTTGGTGGTGGAAGCATCTTTAGCTCGTCCTCGTCTCAAGTTCACTGCCCAGAAAAGGTAACGTCTTCCTCTTTGTGACGTTCTTTCCACCTCTTATTCTATTTCAGAGTGACATTCTGTTGATTGAGGCTTGCTTTTAGTTTGGTTGGTGGTTGGTTGTTAGTTGCTATTAAGTTGATATGTTATGTTACATATATATAGTCGCTTCATCGAGTTATTTGTTATACCAAGTTAAAGCTTTGGATATTCGTTATTACTTCTCTATTGTTGTACTTGAAGTTTTGTCTTGTCGATATCTTTCCTTGAGCTTGTTTCTCGAATGTCATCGAATGCGTTTCACTGCTTAATATTCGACACCACGGGTTTCACTCTTTCATCTCAAGTCGAAAGAATGGGCTAAGATGTCAATATTTAGAGTTTATGTGTTGTGCTCGCGACTATTCGAAATTCGTATTGTGTTTTCTGTCTGTATAAATGGCTTCATGGGTTGCAAGATGATTTTAAGTTCAAATTATATCGCGTACATGTCGCTGAACCGATTTGCTTTTGCACACATTTACTCTGTTTTTATTGTTGATACTGCATGCCCTCTGGAAAGAGCTATTTTAGTCAAGTGAAATATCACAATTTGGATAAGTTTCTAATGTGTCATTTACGGGAAGATATCCTTGTATTTAATACGTATTCATTTTGAGTGATTTTGCCTTGGTTTGTTGTTTGAGGCTTCCTGTAGTGGAGTTTTATGATTAAAAAAAAAAAAACTCTTCGTTATGTTCAGTTTTACGTAACTGTTTGGTTCATGTCCTATATTTTATCGAAAAAATACTCTCTTCAGCACATAGTAACCATATATGCTTTTTACTCCACTGACTACTGAATAAAATGTACATATTTGGGTTGGGTAAATTTATTTTCTCAAACCTGTTGCTAAGTTGATAATTTATGGTTGTTTATTTATTTATTTTTATGTCACCGTGCAACGTCATTTTGGTATCACTGTTGTTGTATTGATCCATTTTGTTTGTAATAGCAGTTTGTCCATATGCCCAACTTATTTGTTTTGTTCTAATTATTGGGAAGCATGTTGAATGTCTATTATTTTATTTTTTATTTTTATCTTAGTTTATTTACTTTACTTTATTTTATCTTATTTTTGCGTGTTTGTCATCACTCTAAATTCTACCTTCTTCTCTTGCATGTGAAATTCACCCGAATTCGCTACGAGCTTCTACCTTCTTTCCCTGCATTTCGGGAGAGCCGTGAAGGCTCAAATTCCTTCTTATCCGAGTCTATCAGCCCATAAAGTCGACGAACAGGTCCCGAAATTGAAAGGAGCAACTGATTGAGAAATTTAAAAAATTTTGGGCCAAAGGCTTACTCTTAATTCAAAAAAATTTGTATCTTGTTATTTTGGGCCTAAGCCTGTTTAAGTTTATTATTTTATTAGTATTTAGGACAGGTGAAAAATTGGGCCTAAGGCCCAAAGAAATGTCTTATATATATTAGACTAGGACAGGTGCAGATAACTCAAATGGGCCAAAGACCCAAAATGAAAAATGGGTCCAAATACTGGTCCAGGCGGACAGAAACCACATTTGGGCCCAAATCTCTTTCCCTTTTCATTTTGATTATGTTTATTTACATATTAATATTTGTTGTTAATCTTAAGGTCGAAAAAATTCAAATTCCCGAAAGACACTCATTTCGAATTAATTACTTAATTAAATTATTCATCTTTTACTCGACTTAAAAAATAAAATAAACAAATAAAATTTACAAAATATTTCTCTTAGATTTATTTCAATATTTCCCCTTTAAAATGGTCCTAACTACAAAATAGTTCAATATTGCAATTCAAGCTAAGTTAAGATTATTTTTAGCCAACTAATTAATCGCCGGATAACCACGTATTAGCGAGCATTTTGGGTGCTTTAAACCCCTTCCCAAAATGCTAATAAGAGCCTCGAACCTTTTTGTATATTTTCAATTGATTTATGTTTTAATCTGTTGAAAAAATTGGTTTTCTTAATTTCACCTTAAAAATTAAGTGGCGACTCTTAAAACCAGTCTAAAATATATTTTCCTAATAAAACACCAAAATTTGGTAAGATTCGTAATATTACAACATAACATACATTTGAGTAATTATCTCATATACTAGTGAGATTGTTGTAAGTTACCCTTAAATAAATAGTTTTGGCTCATGGGTCCACGCCAGCCTGGCCCCCATCAAGCTAAGCCTCAAGGGTCAAAGACTTATATGGGTTGGGCTCATATGCCCTAGTTTTAAATGGGCTTGAAAAATCTTATCACAACCCTACCCCAATAACAGGTTGGATTGAGCCGGCCCCATGGACTAAGCCCATTTTGACGGCTTTACCTCTGTCTCTTTCTTGGCTAACCTCAATACCTCCTCTAACCTCTGAATCACCTTCACCCCCACACCGCATCTATCTATCTATCAACAATGCATTCTCAAACAATACCTTGAATGAAAGAGAGGTTTTCGATAAAATCTCTTCTAAAACTTCTCTTGCATCTTAAAGCTTTCCCCATTTCATTCAACAACCTCGCCGTCAAAGAATTTCCATTCGGATATAGTGAATTCAATATTTTTAAAATGCATTGGAATGAATAGTAATTACTAATAAGAGTAAAATAGGTATAAAATAATTTAAAAAAATAATTTTTTAAACTGGACAACTAAAAGTGGAAATCTATTCTTATAATATTTGACAAATAAAATGGACAAATGAAGTATCAATTTACTCCCATTTTTGTTATCTTCTATTTAGTTTTACTAGTCTCAGGAAACGTACGAATAATAAACAAAAGGATGGAGACCCTTTACCAGAAGAAGGATGAAAACAATCACAAGGGGGAAAGGAAAACATAGAAGTAACCCTCCTTATGAAAGACAAACAAGAAGTAGGACAGGCAACCAGATAGAAGAAGGAAAGATTACAATGGAAGCTAACAAGGGAAATGGATCAAGACAAATGATAAAGGAAATGTTAAGGCATACGATAAATTTTCTTGGCCTTTTCTATGTGAGATCACTACACCTAAAACAATTTTTAGCAGCGATAATATACACATTAACAAAGAAAATTATTTATTTCGTTATGATATTTTATTCAATTTAAAGATCATGTTAAAAATGTTATTGAATACTCATTTTATGAGCGTTGAACTAATATGATAATGTTTACGATGAATTAATTCATGTCTATGAACTAGAAAAGATAACATGGTGAAAAAGTTTTAAAATATTTTAAGAATTTTATTTAAAATACTATGAAATGTCCTATCATCATATCATATTATACTAAAAACCAGAAGCCTTTAAACTTAAAAGTTGAACTATTAAAACACTCATTAATGTTGAATGACGATCTTATCCTCCATTAAAAACTCTATTCCTATAGTATTTTTTGAACACATGCGTCAATTTACCTTCTATTAAATATCACCATCAGATATAAGTATTTTTATCAAATCAGTCAACTGTATAATTATCACTTTGTAGAATACTTTTCTTGATAACTTGAAAATTAATTAAGGAGTTGTAATTAATACCACAACATGGTCTATATTCATCGACCCAAAAATATATATTGTGATTTGAATGATAATTCTTTATAAATAATTTAATAAAGAACAAATTTACATACATCAAAGATATGAAAGCATTGAAATTAGCAAAATAAGGCAATAAAATGAATTTCGCTTAATAAGGGCTCATTCTCTTCTTCTATACTTGTTGGTTCAGACATTATACATCGCCCCTTTACTTTTATACCTCTCTCTTCCCTCCTCTCTCGCTTTGTGTATGTGTGTATGTTTCGCGTCTATGAAGCAACAAGTACAGCAGAATCAAACCCTTTCCGACAATGAGTTTTGGATTACCTAATCCATCTGATCCATCCTCTTGATGAACTTTGATGGTTCTGACATCGTTTGGTCAGTCCTTCTCATCTAAATAGTCTTCGACTACACTCAGGTTCTATTGTTCTTGTTTTGATATTTTATTTAGGTATTTTATTACTTTTGCCTAGTTATTTTAGCATTCTTGCTCTATTATTTAATTTTTCTATATGGTGTCCTACGTGTATTATGACACGTAGGACACGTGTATCTACTTGTTCGGTTTTATACAAGTTGAAGTGTTTACTTGTGCACACCCAAAGTTAAAGATCATAGTTACCGACTGAAACCAAGTTAAAGATCATGTTTACATATATGCGTTTTATAAACTTAAACTAACTTTAAACTTTCCTTGAAAAAGAACAAAGACTTGGAATGATTTGTTAGACAAAAAAAAAGTATAATTCTTGACTTTTAACATTAAAATCTGGAAGAGTTAAATTAGAAATTGAGTGGAACTTCACAATAAAAATTGGGCCAAATTACAGTCCTCTGTTTACAATCAAATAGAGTAACAATACAAATTTAATAGTATAACACACAAATAATTAAATAGTGAACAACTGATAATCAAA